ACATTGTGGATTCGTCGGCGCCGCTTCAGAAGTGTTGCTCGCTGCAGAAGTTGGGACTAGCTCAACTTTTCAAGCGCCGATGGAAGCGTCAGCCAATCAGATCGTTGTATGCAAATACACCAGCTAGACAGTGGCCTATTGCTGACTGAATTTCATTGGCTGACGCTTCTATGATGATCGCTTCAGCCCCAACTTCAGACACGCCTTCATTCAAGCATTGACGCTGAAGCCCCGTGTGAATGGAGTGTGAGAGTGTTGAAGCTGGCTTCTGCTAATGAAACTGCAAACCATCCTCAGCAAACTTTCTTTGATTGAATCTCTGACTCTCGCTCTTCTTAATCTGACAGACTGGTCATTCTTGGGTTAAAATTGTCAGTTTCCTAACACATACAATTTTGTCATTTATGTTCCAAGTCAGAAACTGTCAAAAAACAAAAAAAAAAGAGTTAAAATCAGCATTTACCTAAACACAGGACCAGTGCTTCCCCTAAATTCAGGTGGATGATTCACTGACCAGTCACTCTTCATGGACACACAGCTTGGTAACATAGTTGAGAACCGGGGGATGTTTGTGGTATTTAGTAATTGGTAATTGTAAATGAAACAGACAGGGTTTCCGGCGGCAGCAATGGGACACTAAATAAACGATGAGGACCAGGAGACTGCTGTTGGAGACTGTACCAAACGGAATTACGGGAGTTTTCTGGGAAAAAAATTGGAGGGTGGTGGGTGTGAAATACAGGATACTCCTGGGAAAAATGGGAGTGTTGGCAGGTATGTTGACTAATCATGCTCAATAGGCTCTGGGGAGTTTGGTCTGTACACTGAAGATGAGCATAACAAGGGAATATAATCCACACATTCATTTCTAATGTAGTACTGATTCAGATGATTAAACTACTACATTTACATGGAAACTTCATCCTTTAAATCTAACTGCACGCTGATCTGCTTTCCCTCTTGCATTTGTCATGTCATGTATTTGTCAATGTAATTTTACAGCAAGTGTTCCTAATTTCTCAGCTGTTAATTAAGATCTTTTAATGAATATCCTCTGACACACACTGCATACAGGCAACCTTGTCACTCTACAGCAGGGGTGTCAAACTAAATTCCAGGAGGGCCTGCTCCAACACACTTACCTGTAGGTTTCAAACAAGCCTGAAGGACTTAATTAGTTTGATCAGGTGTGTTTAATTAGGGTTGGAACTAAACTGTGCAGAGCTGCGGCCCTTTTGGAACTGAGTTTGACACCTGTGCTCTAAAGGATTAATAATGAACTCTTTCTATGCTCTACAGAAGTCCTAAAAGGCCATGCATTAAACTATTTTTCTCTCTTGTTTTTTTTTTTTTTGTAACCACGACTTGTTTTCTTGTGATCTGAACAAAGCAAAAACTTTTCTTTAATGTTTGCTTTTATTTATGCATATATATATATATATATATATATATATATATATATATATATATATATATATATATATATATATATATATATATATATATATTTATTATCATTATTATTATTGATATATTTAATTATTTAATATCCTATTGTACGACCAGGCCACCAAACATTTTCAGACACGCACTCCTGCAACACATTAAAGGTGTTCAGAGCAGCTATAATAATTTAAGAGCAAACACACGTGCTCATGATTAATGTACACTGATGATTATGTTCAGGCATCTGATTATATATCATTATTTAAAATAACAATCCCTCAACTCTTACCATTTTAAAGCATAGTTCTAGGTGCAAAATAAGTAGTTACATTTAGGCATGGAATGATAACCGCGGTTTGAAAAAAGGTTTTAAAACCTCCACCACCGTTCTGTTGTACCGTTCCTAAGGTATGTGCAAGATTTTTTTATAGATTTTTTTTATATAATATATCCAGAGATGCCGTTTTAAATTGTAAAGAAATGTGTGTTTTTGAAACTAATGAAGACAGCAGAAGTCAATGAATAATTTTTATTATTCAGCCTGACATGTTTACAGTTCCAAAATATTATAAATCTTATACCGGGCCATGCCTAGTTGCAGGTGTAAGCTGTATATTTAAACATGTAACTTAATAAACAACTTTGCCTGCTGTAAGACGTAGAGATTCTTTCTCTTTATTAATGATGATAACAACTTGGAGTCAGATTAATTACAATGGAGTCAGATAAATAATGGATTTAAACACGCCATCCTTCAACTGCTTTCTGTTTCCGACTATTGGTTCAGAATAGCAGCGTAAGCTTCAAGCCTTACACAGGTATAAATAAGATTATGAAGAAAATTGAAGGTCCTTCTTTTGCTTTAATTTGTCCTTTCCGGAAGTTATTTACAATTACTTTAAGTGAATCCCTGCAAATAATGAGATATGAAGATACTGTATGAATCATAGCCAGCCCTTCAAGGAATATTTAATGATTTTGATTTCATCCTATGCATAATAAACTAGCCCTTGCAATAATAGTTTAATTCTGTTTTTAACTAATTACATGAACTTATGCTGATGTGCTGAACCTCATAAAATTTTGCTCCATAACAGCTGTGTCTTCCCACATGGAAAGTAACTATATGAGGATGTATGCACATATATGAAACCAATATGCAGTATATATGTATGCACATATATGATAGCATATATGCTGTATATATGTGTATATATGCCACATATAGACAGAACTGAGGTGCATATATGTGCATATACAGGCCAAATAGGTCATCTGTATTGTTTCTTCATATCCACATATAATCCCTATATGTACATGCAAGATATGTCTCCTATATAGCTCATATCTCACTTAAGCAACTGGCATGCATTATGCCTTGCTCATATGTTTGTTATCAAGGCAATAACCAAAAACTAACTAAAAACATGCAAAAAACTTTTGTATGTGCGAACACTTGAAATTGGTATCACATGGAATTGGCATGTTATGGAATTTAACTATGGCAAATAAGTGAGAGGAGATGAAAAGTTTTGATTTCTGCGTATTTTCCTGAAACATTAACAAGGTCAATTCTGTCTTGTGTGAAGATAATGGAAAAGAAGGAAATGTATTTGGTTTGTCTGTTTTTTATTTTTATGTTTAGTTTTTTGCCTTATGTTTGTTCTTGTACTATATTTATTTATTGTATTATTTAAGTAAACAAAAATAAAAATGTATTTTAAATAATGTTGTCTAGCAGCTGTATTTTAATCATTTTACAAACATATAGGCAAACATATATGTACCCATATTTGTACATATATGTACACATAATATAGGAAAACGTCCAATTTAATATATGTCACATATATCAAAGACCTATATCAAAACCTATATTAAAACATGTTTATATAGGTTCTTTCCGTGTGGGTTTGTGTGACTGATACCTGAGAAGTTAACTCCTTTGTACTTGTTATCAGCGGAATGTCACATCTCTTCTTCCAGAGTGTGCTCGTTTACAAGAACAATCACAGGTGGGAGGAGCTCAAGCTCACTCTTGCAGGCTCTGTTATGTGTATGTGTAACTTTTCCTGTGCAGATGTGCTGTTCTGCCTAACAACTGATGACTGAATTCAGCGGGGCTGAAAAGAGACGACGATAAATATGGGGGGAAGAGGGTGTGGGTGTGTGTGCCCAGCTGACATACTCTGCCTGTGTTGCTGTTCTTTGACACCCGGAGCTCTGTAATGCTTTATTTATCTAATAATTAAATTGATAAAACTTATTTAAAGCCTCTTACTGTTTTAACCTGGGTGGACTAGAAAAAGTCCTACACCCTCCCTACAGGCGAACCAAGCAGCTGCTTAGGGCCCCGCTGCCACTATGGGGCCCTCACAAACCACTAGTGGTGCGAGCCGTTTTCTTGCTGAAATCGTTTTTATTTGCATTTTACAAATTATCTTCACTGACAGTGCTTTAGTACTTAAATATTTATAGATTTTCACTGAAAAAAAAAATCATAACTTTATTAGAGTTGAAATTGTGTTTGTGTGAAAGTCACGTGATCAACAGGAAGCTTGCAGCATCTCATTTATCATTTGTGTTGTGTGTTCTCGCGGTTCAAGTTTGTTCTTCCAAAGAAAACCTGCAAGTCTGACCGGTTTTTCTTGGTTTTACAGACCGGTTTTTTACAGACTGATAATGTTTTTTCCGGATACATGTTTATAAAAGTTATGCCTTAATTGAATCAATCATAGTTTATATTATTTGCCTATTGATTTTATTATTTATGAATCAATCTTTGCATTAATGTGAGTTTTGTGTGTGTGTGTGTGTGTGTGTGTGTGTGTGTGTGTGTGTGTGTGTGTGTGTGTGTGTGTGTGTGTGTGTGTGTGTGTGTGTTTTTATCAGTTCAGAATGCATATTTTATTACTAAGTAGTGCATTTTTACTATTGGTTAATTATTGTTCAGTGTCGTTTTCATTTCATTGCAAAAAAATAAATAAATAAATAAATAAATAAATCAACCTAGAATGTTTAATAGAATCTTCGATTTGTTTTCCAAAATTAATAAAATATGTTTTAAACATTCCAGAAGGACGCCAAGTAGTTATCACTGGTCCCTTTATTAAAGCTAGTATAATTCTTAATTTTTTTTTAAGCTGCTAGTTGACACAATACCTGATCATACAATGGACAGGTATTAATAATAATAGTAGTAATAATAATAATAATAATAATAATAATAATAATAAACAAAATGAATTAATAAAAGCAAAACAAAAAGTCGTGATAACGAGAAAATAGGAGAGAGAAAAAAATATGAATACATCCTAGACTTTGGTAACGTTACAATGCGGAAACAAGAAACAGAAATAGACATATGCTTTTTAAAGCAATATTCTCACAGAATATTGTCGAAATAATGTTGAAAACTTATGTATAAATTATCAGAACAATCTACCTATATGTAATAAAGTGGGACATGATGGCGACAAAAACATAGCGAGAGAAACACACCACAAAATTAAAAAATGATCATTTACTCGGGCTACTGTTACTGTATCACTCACCTGTGTGGATATCTAGATCGACTTGCGGACTCGTATTCATTTCTTTCTCCCCGATAATCCATCAGGACAACCGAATTGAAGGAATCTCACCACTTCTAGATTAGTAAAACGATGTTTCTGTTTTCATAAAATGGTGACAGAGATTGACTGCTCTTTCATTTTCACATGCAGGTGTCTGTCAGGTGAGCTAATGAAGGGAGGGTTGTTTTGGAGAAAATTACGTTCATATCTCTGCTTACTTCCGGGTGAAAATTTTTAACAGCATTAATCTTTTTTGAGTTAAAGTTTTTTTATCTGGGGCTGCTTGTGTTATTCTCCCCAATAATCCCAGGCATGATCGCTTATAGGCTCTTGGTTAACAAAACAGGAAGTCTACCTGTAAATGTTTTGAGAGAGAATGTGTAGAGAGAGAAAGATAAAAATACTATAAGTAATAAAATAGGTTAAATCTATATGGTAATATAAAATATGGAATGAATATTTAACTCTAGATATAATTGCAGTTAAAAACACCAGACGAATGTACAAACAAAAACTGATGAGAGACTCCATCATGAAGGTGCCCACGTCTGTGCAACTGGGTGTAGAGTTTTCCTCACAGTATTTGTTCATTCATTCATTTTCTTTTCGGCTTTTTTCAGATTTTTTCAAATTCATTGGCTTAGTCCCTTTATTAATCAGGGGTCACCGCCACAGCGAAATGAGCCGCCAACTTATCCAGCACGTTTTTACACAGCGAATGCCCTTCCAGCCGTAACCCATCTCTGGGAAACATCCATTAACACTCATTCACACTCATACACTACGGAAAATTTAGCCTACCCAATTCACCTGTACCGCATGTCTTTGGACTGTGGGGGAAACCGGAGCACCCGGAGGAAACCTACGCAAATGCAGGGAGAACATGCAAACTCCACACAGAAACGCCAATTAAGCCAGCCGAGGCTCGAACCAGCGACCTTCTTGCTGTGAGGTGACAGTACAAACCACTGAGCCACCGCACTATATTTGCACAATATTTACATATTCACAAAACATAGCTGAAAAAAATATCTAAATTACTAGAATAACCCCCAGCACAGTGTGGCTACATGATGATCTACAACTATGAGTTTGTTTGTTTGTTTGTTCTAAACAGTTAAATTGCTGATTTCCAGAAAGATCCTCCATCAGACACGTAACCAGGATGCAAAAGACCCACCCCTCACTGACATAGGTCCACAATTTGTCCCAAACATGAGTTTATTCGCTACGCTAACATAAGTAGTGAAAATAACCCATAACCTATCAAAAAAGGCTTTAAGACCAGGTGTTGGCCTCACATTGATGTGACCTGGGATGGGCAGTATTTATGATACAAGTATTTCAAATATGTATATTAAATACAAAACAGTATTTTGTAATGTGTTTTTGATGAGGTTTATGAAAATTAGTTAATATTTTGTTTGAAAATTCTTTAGTGTCTTGTATTTTTTGTATTTATAAATATTGTAAAATACCTTGTAAGAAGTCTACATGATGACATCATAAAAGGTGGCCTTTAATAGTGGTGTTTTTTCAGTTATTTGCCAAAACTAGACTACAAAATGGATTAATATTGAAAAAGTTGATCAATGCTTGGATTATGGATGGAAATTAAGCAACAAATATTTCAAGAGTTCACACTTATGATGATTGATTGTAAAGTGTGTTAGGCATGCTGTCCCAGGAGACAGACTTGACTTTTTACAGATCCAGTTTACGTGGGTGTCCCATGTTAGAGACCTCTCTATGTAAATTCCCAAACACTTGTAAGACTGTACCTGAGTGATTTCCTGATTATGTACAAACACTGTAAATGCTTGACAACACACTTGAGATCAAAGAATATTTACTTTGTTTTTTTTGTGTTTACTTTTAAGAAGTTTTCATCACACCACTCAACAAATGAATCAATTTCAGAAAAATAAACAGAAACAGGATCTTGTTTTTCAGCAAACTTTAAATCACCGTATCATCTGAGTATTTCAGAATAAATGTCTGTGAGTGCCTGCTTGAACACTCATTAGTATAAAGTAAACAGAAGTGATCAGCTCACACAACCCTGAGGGACACCAGAACTACTATATTTCACTTGGGACAAATGTTATGTACTTTGACTGCCTGAGTTTGGTTTGTTAAAAATAAGTAATATTCAATAACTGTATAGGATTTACTCCTAACTTTTATAGTTTCCAAATTAAAACATGTGGTTGAACCATGTTAAACGCTGAGCTAAAATCAAAGAGAAAAGTCCATGTGCATATGCATCAGGTTCTTCTAAATGATTTAAGATAAAATGCAACAGACTATTGATGGCATTAATAATTATATTTTCTCTAAGCACTGACACTATATTCTTCTTGTAGAATTTCATTACTGAAGTGAGAGTGATTGGTCTATAATCATTATTATACACAGGATGGGCAAATTTAGGCAGAGGGATTATAAGAGATCTTTTCCAGATAGCTGGGACTTAAAGTGAATAGATTTTTGAAATAAAAACACCACACTGGTGACAGTTCATCTGCACATGCTTTTAGTAAAAAGCCAGAGAGACCTGTCCTACAGGTTCTTCAGTTTTCCTTTTCCTGCATCTTTGGCAGATTTGAGCTCTTTCCAGCAGTGTCTGTGTGATTGTGAGATTCGTCTTTACACACTGAAGACAGCAGAGGGACTGAAACACCATTAAAAACACTGAAAAGACTCAAACACTCACTGAAGCTCCAGAAGGAAACATGATGCATTAAGAACTGCAGTGACTGACCAAGATCTAATTCCCACACAAGCGTCAGATCCACAGTTATCAGATAATATAGCATTTATTTTAGATATGGATCCCTTTAAACAGAGCTGATTCAGTAAACACTCAAAGACATGGACTGAAGGATTTAAACCTGCATTAATGTCATGCTGAACTCTGCTGTAGATCACCAAACTATATAGAGCCAATTCATTCATTCATTTTCCTTCAGCTTAGTCTCTTTATTCGTCTGGGGTCACCATGGCGGAATGAACCGCCAACTTATGTAGCATATGTTTTTCACAGTGGATGCCCTTCCAGCTGCAACCAATTACTGGGAAACACCCATACACACTCATTCTCACACACAAACACACACACACTCATACACTACAGCCAATTTATTCATTCATTCCTCCTATACCACATGTGTTTAGACTGTGGGGGAAACCGGAGCACCTGGAGGAAACCCACGCCAAAACGGGGGGAACATGCAAACTCCACACAGAAATGCCAATTGACGTAGCCGGGACTCGTACCAGCGTCCTTTTTGCTGTGAGGCCACAGTGCTAAACACTGAGCCAGCGAGTCTCCTAAATAATTAATACTTATTAATCTACTCATAAAAACTGCTGTCAGCACAAAATAACGTCTCCTTCAACACAAGAGAGCTGGAAATATATATCAGGTGTTAAACTGATTTATTAAATGCTTGATGTTAATAAACTGATGACGACAGCTTGTAGAATAATAATGAGAAAACATCAGATCTTCACTATGAGAGTAAAAGAGGAATAAATAAATAAATTAATAAATTCTACTGAAATATAATTCTATTTACACGAGGAAGAAGAAACTCAATGACACCTTTAATCCTCACAATGATTCTTCTGCTGCTACAGAGTCAATAACAAGTCAATCATTAGAATAAAGATGAGAAATATAATAATTCATTAATTCACAGACGACATGTGTTGATGCAGAACAATGATGGAGTATCAGAGAAAACAAAGTGCTGATCACACCAATAACTAAGAGATGAAATGTATTATTCACATTATTATGAATATTGTCTGGTGTTGACTTAATCTTGGCTTTACTTAATATCTTATTTTTCTCCGCTAACTAAACTAAACTAATGAAAGATGATGATGATGATTGCTTTAGTTACTGAGACTCTTTCATATCATAATGCTGTATTCTGTGATTTAATCTGTAGTTAAAGCGTGATGTTTCTGGTAAGATTATTTAATAAATATAATTATGTTGAAACTCTGTTTAGGTTTATTATTAATATTCGATTCGTCTAATTTACACAGAGAATAAATGATTGGTTTTGTCTTGCGCTGATTAATTGTTCTCCACAACACTGGTAATGTGAGCTGACACAGTAAATCAAGTCGATATGATTTATTCACACTTTTATTAAAATCATTTGCTGTTGAGACACTTTCATGAAGACAATCATAACAAAAATACTGAAATATAAAGACCAGAGAGTGTGTTATATAAAGATAAAAATATAAAATCTGCTTTGTTTAAACAATATAATGCATAGATGTAATATTGTAGTTTATGACACAGTGCACATTATAATCAAACTGAAAACGGATATGAGGAAATGTATTAAAAACAATACATACAGATAATAAACAAACTGCTACTGTGTCATATTATAAACCAAAACACTTTTAATATAGTAATACTGTCACTTTCCTGTGCATCAATTTACAATATAAAAAGTAACAAATAGTAGAAACTGTAAATCAGCCTGACTAGTGAGATATTTAAACATGTGTGAATGTGACATGGTGACTGATGTAATTATGAATAAATGATTTAATCTTGAGTAATTATCTCCTGAACTGGATCATGTCACTCTTCAATATGCCGCTGTTTCTCTTTAGTCAGACTGAAGGAAAGCTGAATCACTCGACACTGTCCAGAATCATCTCACATGTGTGAAGAGACAGAAAGTTTCTCTGTTTTCTCGTGGTTTTCTCTCTTCATGACGTGCTCCATCACAGGTGGAGGAAACAGAAAGAGCATCCGCTTATTTGTGTTTTAATTCTGCAGCATTGAGTTTCTCTGTGAGCAGATATGAATAAAGCAGTTCCTGCAGCATTTCTTCCTCTTCTCTGATGCACATTAATGATGGAGTGTTTCAGTCACTGATGATGATGTTTAGTCGTCCAGCAGAGTCTTTATAAACTCCAGCAGCACGATTACTGACACTTCACTTCTGTACAGTTTAATGTGTCTGTAGAGACTCCACATTCAACATATAAAACCCCAGCTGATACTGAATAAAACACACAGAAACACACACATTATGAAGCGTCACTGCAGACACATCTGTACAGCTGATTCAGTTCACATGACATTAT